GGAAATTCTTAGAACTTGTGGTAAATTCGTAGAACCTCTGGAATGTTGGTAGACCGTTTGGGAAGTTCACAGAACTTCAAGGAAATTCGTAGAACTTCTGGGAAATTCGTAGGTCTTTTGATCGAACTCTAGAGACATTCGTAGCACTTCTGGGAAATTCGCAGCTCTTCTTTGAAATTCGTAGAAACCCTGGGAAATTAATTGAACTTCATCGAACAGCTTAGAACTTCTGGGAAATTCGTAGAACTGCTGCAACATTCGTAGAACTGCAGTGTAATTCGTAGAAATTCTGGAAGATTCATAGAACTTCTGCCGAATTCGAACTGTTCGAAAGTTTGTAGAAATTCTTACAAGTTAGGAGAACTTCTGCGATATTCGTAGAACTTCTGAAAAAATTTGTTGGGAGGTTTTTAGAAATTCATTGAACGCCTGGGAAATTCGTAGAACTATTGGAAATTCGTAGAACTTCTGGCATATTTTAGAACTACTGAGAAGTTTGTTTGTTTCGGGAAATTCTTAGAACTTCTAGAATGTTGGAAGAATGTTGGCTTGGGAAGTTCGCAGAACTTCAAGGAAATTCGTAGAGCTTCTGGGAAATACGTAAATCTTCTGATCGAATTTTTGAGAAATTCGTAGCACTTCTGGGAAATTCATACCATTTCTGTGAAATTCTTAGAACTTCTGGGAAATTCGTTGAACTCTAAGGAACAGCTTAGAACTCCAGGGAAATTCGTAGAACTTCTGCAAAATTCGTAGAAATGCAGGAAAGTTCGTAGAACTTCTGGAAAATTCGTAGAAATGCAGGAAAATTCGTAGAACTTCTGCGAAATTCGTAGAACTTCTGTGAAATTCGTAGAACTTCTGGGAAAATTTAAAACTGTTGAGAAGTTTGAAGACATTCTTACAAGTTAGGAGAACTTCTGAGAAATTTATAGAACTTCAGAAAAATTCGTTGAACTTGTGGGAAATTCGTAGAACTATTTGAAATTCTTAGAACTTCTGGCATATTTTAGAACAACTGGGAAGTTGGCCTGTTTCGGGAAATTCTTAGAACTTCTGGTAAATTCGTAGAACTTCTGGAATGTTGGAAGAATGTTGGTTTGGGAAGTTCGCAGAACTTCAAGGAAATTCGTAGAACTTCTGGGAAATTCGTAGGTCTTCTGATCGAACTCTAGCTAAATTCGTAGCACTTCTGGGAAATTCGTAACACTTCTTTGAAATTCTTAGAAACCCTGGGACATTAATTGAACTTGAAGGAAATGCTTAGAACTTCGGCGAAATTCGTAGAATTTCTGCGAATTCGTAGAAATGCAGCGTAGTTCATAGAACTTCTGGAAGATTCATAGAACTTCTGCGAAAATTGAACTGTTGGGAAGTTTGTAGAAATTCTTACGAGCTCGGAGAACTTCTGAGAAAATTGAAGAACTTCTGTAAAATTCAATGAACTTCTAGGAAATTCTTAGAACTCCTGGAAAATTCGTTGAACTTAAAGGAAATGCTTAGAACTTCTGGGAAATTCGTAGAACTTCTGCGAAATTCGTAGAACTGCAGGGAAGTTCGTAGAACTTCTCGAAAATTCGTATAAATGCAGGAAAGTTCGTAGAACTTCTGGAAAATTCGTAGAACTTCTGCGAAATTTGTAGAACTTCTGGGAAATATTAGAACTGTTGGGAAGTTTGAAGAAATTCTTACAAGTTAGGAGAACTTCTGAGAAATTTAAAGAATTTCTAAAAAATTCGTTGAACTTCTGGGAAATTCGTAGAACTATTGGAAATTCTTAGAATTTCTGACATATTTTAGAACAACTGGGAAGTTTGTTTGTTTCGGGAAATTCTTAGAACATTTGGTAAATTCATAAAACTTCTGGAATGTTGGTAGATCGTTTAGGAAGTTCGCAGAACTTCAAGGAAATTCGTAGAGCTTTTGGGAAATACGTAGATATTCTAATAGAATTTTTGAGATATTCATAGCACTTCTGTGAAATTCTTAGAACTCCTGGGAAATTCGTTGCACTCCAAAGAAATGCTTAGAACTCCTAGGAAATTCGTAGAACTTCTGCGAAATTCGAAGAACTGCAGGGAAGTGTTTGTAGAACTTCTGGAGAATTCGTAGAACTTCTGGAAAAATTTAGAACTGCTGGGAATTCAGAGAGCTTCTGAGAAATTTGAAGAACTTCTGAAAAACTCATTGAACTTCTGGGAAATTCATAGAACTATTGGAAATTCTTAGACCTTCTCGCATATATATTCTGGAATGTTGGTTTGGGAAACACGTAGATCTTCTAATAGAATTTTTGAGAAGTTCGAAGCACTTCTGGGAAATTCATACCATTTCTGTGAAGTTCCTAGAACCCCTGGGAAATTCGTTGAACTCCAAGGAACAGCTTAGAACTTCTGGGAAATTCGTAGAACTTCTGCGAAATTCGTAGAACTTCTGCGAAATTCGTAGAACTTCTGGGAAAATTTAGAACTGCTGGGAAGTTTGTAGAAATTCTTACAAATTCGGGGAACTTCTGAGAAATTCGTTGAATTTCTGGAAAATTCGTTGAACTTCTGGGCAATTCGTAGAACTATTGGAAATTCTTAGACTTCTGGCATATATATCATATATTGGGAATTTCTTAGAACTTCTGGTAAATTCGTAGAACTTCTGGAATGTTGAAAGCATGTTGGTTTAGGAAGTTCGCAGAACATCAATGGAATTCGTAGAGCTTCTGGAAAATACGTAGATCTTTTGATCGAATTTTTGAGAAATTCGTAGCACTTCTGGAAAAATCATAGCATTTCTGTGAGATTCTTAGAACTCCTATGAAATTCGTAGAACTGCACAGCGGTAAACGGCACCATTAATGCAAAGCGGTAAACGGCACTCGACACCATTACATGTTCAAGCTAACGACACAGACAAACAGACGTAACTCTTCATTGTGTATCTTCGTTTATGCATTTAACGGTTGATTTGAATATTATCAGTTCCGCGAACTACTCGCCGTAGCGCTGGCATCGGATCACTTTGACGTATTCTATAGGATCACTTTGACGTATTCTATAGAACTTTTATGCAATATTGTTTACGAGTTAGCGAGCAAGCTTGTTTTCCGCGAGAAGCCAGATAGATGTCGCTACTGAGGTTATATGTTTTGAGATACTATGTTTTCAAGAACAAGTTTTTCAAAGAGTTACGTCTGTTTGTCTGTGCTAACGGAGTTACCATCTCCGAACCGGCAGCCGTCGCCGAAGAACTCGGAGGGTATTTCGCAGAAATTTCGGCCATCTCCGGTTACGATAGCCACTTTCAGCGGTTGGCAAAGCCTACCCGTACATCAGTTGCTGAGTTCAGCATCCCGCCTGACACGGACAACCTCGAGATCAACGAGCCTTTCTCCTGGGAGGAACTCGTGCACGCACTAAGCCTCAGCAACGGCAAATCTGCGGGACCTGACGATCTCGGGTATCCACTTTTGAAAAAGCTGCCCCTTGAGGGCAAGTGTTGTATGCTTGAGATGCTCAACCAACTCTGGGTGTCTGATACCTACCCGACGCTGTGGAAGGAGAGTCTCGTCATGCCCATCCCGAAGGCAAACGAAAAAGACAGGGGCACATCTAAGTTCCGACCGATCGCTCTCACATCCTGCATGGCCAAGGTATTCGAACGGATGGTGAACCGTCGACTTGAGATCAACAACTTGCTCGACCACCGACAACATGCCTTTCGACAAGGTTTCGGTACGTCCACGTACTTTGCCACTCTGGGGGACGTGCTCAAGGAAGCTTACGACCAGGAACACCACGTTGAAATCATCTCTTTGGACATCTCCAAGGCTTTCAACTGGACGTGGACGCCAGCCGTCCTGAAAAAACTAACAAACCGGGGCTTGAAGGGGCATATGATGTATTTCATACGAAACTTCTTGACCGACCGGTCATTTCGTGTATTGGTGGGGAACACGCGGTCGAAAAGTTTCAGCGAGGAGACCGGAGTCCCTCAAGGCTCCGTTATCGCAGTCACGTTGTTTCTGGTGGCAATGAACGGGGTATTTGATCGGCTACCTGGGCGCATTTATATATTTGTTTACGCTGACGATGTGCTGATTGTGGCCTCCGGTCCTACACAGATCCGAACCCTACGGCAAGCGCAAGCGGCAGTCTCTGCCGTCGTCAAATGGACCGACTCGATGAGTTTCCAGCTATCCGCCAGGAAGGGCATCCGATGCCACGTATGTCCGTCTCAGCACCGAGTCAATAGCACCCCAATTACGATCCACGAGCAAGCCATTCCAAACAGGAAAACAGTTCGCGTCCTCGGCGTACTGATCGACCGAACGCTCTCCTTCGACCAGCATTTCCAACAGGTCAAAAAGGACTGCCGCAGTAGACTCAACTTCGTTGAAACGATCTCTCGGCCTCACCGATCAAACAACCTCGATGTTCGGTTCCGGGTGGCGCGAGCCATTATCGACAGTAGGTTGCTTTACGGGACGGAAATAACTTGCATCGCTTCCGAGAAGCTGGTTAGAACCCTAGCATCAGTCTACTACAGCTACATCCGCATCATATCTGGTCTCCTGCCATCCACTCCAGCAGACGCCGCATGCATCGAAGTGGGTCTTCTTCCATTCCGGTTCTGCTTAAACGCAAATCTTGCCACAAAAGCTGAAGCCTTTTCCGCCAAGACATCCGGAAACAATAGGTTTTTTCACCTCGACGAGGGGAACAGAGTCCTCCGTACGGCCGCCGACATCGACCTCCCCCAGTGGCCAAAATCCATTGGCATGGAGAGAAAAGTTGGCACTCTTCACGAATTCAATTGGACAATCGAATCAAGAACCGCTTCAAAGCAGGGGATGCATCCATCATTTTGCGCAGATCGGTCGCCGAGTTACTTGGGTCCAACTATGCCGACCACGTACATCGGTACACCGACGGCTCCCGATCGATAAACGGAGTAGGTATCGGGATTTTTGGAGACAGTATTGCTGAAAGCAGCAGTCTTCCTCCACAATGCTCGGTTTTCTCGGCCGAGGCTGCAGCGATCTTCCGTGCCTATACGACGCCAGCCAACAAACCGATACTTATATTAACCGACACAGCGTCGTTCAAGCGATCACCTCGGAAGCACCAAAACACCCATGGATCCAGGCGATTATCAAGTACGCCCCACCGAACACCGTGTACACATGGATTCCCGGACACTGCGGAGTGCCAGGTAACGAGTCTGCTGATCACCTTGCCGGAGCCGGGACATCGGGCCCCAGACTCACCAACAAGGAACCCCTACAGGATGTCAGACGGTGGATCATGCGGACCATTCGAGCAGCATGGGAAGCTGAGTGGTTCCGCAACAGAATTGCCTTCATACGCAAAGTAAAAGGTTCAACTGAACCATGGAGAGAACTGGACAACCTGAGGGATCAACGCGTGATTTCGCGGCTTCGAACCGGGCACAGCAAACTCTACTATAACTATGGTGGCCTGCCGTTCCGCAGAAGCTGCATCATCTGTGGGGTACCCTACACCGTCTAACACATCCTGTGCAACTGCCCGGAGTTCCAAAATCTTCGGGAGTCACTCTGCCTAACTTCCAGCATCAGCGATCCGCTCGGGAATGATACTTCGGCCTCGGCAGCACTAGTAACCTTCTTAAAAGAAGCCAAAATCTACCACTTGGTATAGCAGGAATTTCTTTCGGCCGTCGGGACATCTCAGCTGAATGGATTTTCCCTATTGGACCCATGCCAGCTGAGCTCTGTTTGGTTTGGATTAATCGTTTGTAGCTTGTCTTAAATCATTTTGTTTTCTGTTATTCCTCTGTTTCATTATTTTATATATTGTTATTTTTTTAATATGAGTTGAAGAGCCAGCAACCAAAGTTATTAACTAAATGTTAATATACCATGTATCTAGAGCACTCTGAGCCCTCTTCTTTCTCCGGAGATGAACTAGCCATAGGCTAAAAATCTCCTTAATAAAGAACTTAAAAAAGTGGTGCAGTAGTGTTTCCCAGATCCATGGGTCAAAATTGGAGCTCAACTCATCGCACCAATAATTGAATCAAATTCAGAAAACCCTGCTCACTATTGCAGCCAATAAAATTCCTCCAGCCCTTTCTACAGCAAACAGCAGAAAAACCAATCGAAAGGGCCACTTAACTTCCGATATTGCATCCTTCACCAACAACAAACAGCATAGATATAGGGGAACGGAAACCTTGTACCCCATTGAAAAACGAGCTCACATTGTATTTTAATTTAACAAATGAAAAAATAAATATTCCAACCAACCCCTTCCTAGCATCTGCGTTTGTCGCCTTCGGTGCCTTCACATGTCCCTTTCCCGGGGATTGACCGGTGACTGGTGACTGGTGGATTGCCAGTGCTCTATTCCGTCCGATGGGGGACGATAGATTGTGCGATTTGTGTGTTATCCTATGCATTTATTCATTGCCTTCGATGGTTGGTATCCTTCGGTGTTCAATTTGTGCGTAAATATATCGGCAAAAGCCTTTCACATCGATTGAAAACCGGTGCCGGCGCTTGTTTGCATAAACCATCACGTTGCGCTGTGCAGGATATGGGTGTCCTTGTGGGATGAAATCTGTTGATGATGATGATCCTGGTCGCCGCCGATGCCGCTAGGCATGGTGACTGACTACCAGTTGATGCAAATCCACTCTCGGTCCCTCTGTTTTCTGCATGACTGGACCCTTTCATCCACTTACATGCATATTAATGTAGATTTACACGACAAGTGATGAGAGCGTGGGGGTGGGTTGAAGGATGCGGGGGATGCGCATTCAAATGGCCACCGAACGGCTATCGGAACCGGGGGGTGCGTAAATTGAATGTGCATTTGAATTTAAATAATGAGGATGAGGATGCAAGCCGGTGTGGGTCGGAGGTAGGTCGCATCTCACGGTGTGGTCTGGTTATGGCTGTTGATGGGGTTGGTTTGTTTGATTTTGACGCGCGCATAAATAGCAAAGGGGTTCCGGAACGGGTCAATGGGATGGGATGTGCTTCCGCAGCAAACATATCGATGAATATTTGCTAATTGAAATTGATTCCAGTGATAAAATTTCATTCCGGATCGGGTACGGCGGCACGTTTTGATTTGATTACTTTAATGGGTTTGATGGTTCCACTGCTGTGAACACAGATTAAAGAGTTAGAGCTCTACGGAGCAAGTGATCTTCCGGAGGATTGGAAAATGCCTAATTCTTAAAGTAAGTTTTAACGATTGAGAACAATGAGAATTCCCACACCCTCCAATCGCGTTCGTTATATCTACTTCGGAACAAAACTGCTAACATCCCTGCTCGGGGTCACAGCGGAAACAGCCATCACCTGGACTAAATTCATACCATTTTTCCTTTATGTGCAATTGTGTTTCCTTTTCCTTGTAGCCCCTCGAGCAACCTCGTTTTCCGTACGCGCACATGGCGTTCATAAATTTCGATTATTCAATTAGTGCATAATTTATTCGCACTTTCCTCCTCACCGTCGTGGACCTCCCTATTTGGGTTGGGTTGGGTGTCCGGGCTCCACGAAGTTGAGAAGGTAGTTAGTGTTGCGCGCTTGTCGACCAAAAGTGAGTTATCACTTTCTCGCGCACTTCTCCTCGCGCAGATCAACCCAAAACGCACCTCAACAGCAAATGGCCGGTCGGTGGGCGCGCGTAACGTAACCCTGAGTCTTTCATCAGCGAGGCCGGGCTGCTGGGCAACCAGAGAGTGTCGATTTCAATTAGGTTCGCTTCTTCACATCCCAGGGTGGAACTGAATTGGTTTGGTGGCTGAAGGCCAAAACAGCTTGGAAAAAGGTGCCAAAATAAGGGCCGCTGACTGGGAGGAGGGAAGACCGGACAAGGCAACCAGCGGGCAAGGTCTTAAATACATCAATTTTTCGCCTCAATAAATCTATTCATTATCAGCGCAGCACCGTCTGGGTGTGGAAGGTGGAGCAAACGTAGCTGGACGGAAGAAGACACCAAATGACTCATCCCAGACCAGCCGTGTCCAAGGAAGCGAGGAGCAGCGAAAGATCAATGAAATTTTGTCCGTCGTTTTGCGAGGTCTTTCCCGCGCACCGCCGCGATGATTTCGCGCAGATGATAAATTTGCAACCAGTGCGTTAAATGAAAAGTTCAAAATCACCTCCAGCGAATTCAGTGCAAATAAAGAGTGCACTCGGCGCGAAATGGCTTCGGATGGACATCCTGGCTAGTCGCGGAGATCGGTCATCAGTTGAAGGATGTATGCATGCGGGAGGGATGGAGCTTTCAGTGACGTAGGTAGACTGATTTTTTGTTTTGCAAGCCCCAATGTACAGTGGGCCAGGAATGAAAATTAGACAAATAAATTGATAACCCATATACCTAAACCATCTAGGCTAACCTTCCCTACTAATGCCAATCGAGTCTTAGTACTGCTTCCTCCTGTTTATATACGAAATATACGTAACTGTAAAAACTAAACGATTATGTTATAGAAATAAATGTCAATTACTTATATTGTTTATTAATTTATTTCATAAGGCTCCATTGAATTAACTTTACAGAGCCGAGGATTCTTGTGGTTTCATTGTATATCAGTATCGCCAACGATGGGCAGAGCGCTTCCATTGCAGCAATGGATGCAACACGTGATCAGCACGCACACTCTGACCACGAAACGGTTGCTTTCCAAAGTCGACGACGCATCGACCGAAAGAACTGCTGATGAAGAACAATGAGGAGGACCACACAATGGTTGCTGCCGAATAAACAGACTATCGCGTGATCAGAGCATCGAGAGTGGCCTGCTTCTGTCGACAGCCAGGTGAACACTTATGTCAATTACTAAGTCCTCTGTCTAATAAATACATATTGAACATTAAACTTTTATACCAGACTCTTTCATTGGATAACATGTAGGGAAAATGGCTCTAATGTTGGCCTATGGATCTAAGATTCGGCTACTTACTACTTAAGGGTCCTGTGCACCACCAGCGGTGCAAAGGGCCAACGTGAAAGACTTCCATCCTGGGCGGCTGCTCGCTTTTGCCTTGACCTGGGCCCAGGTCAGATTTCTATCGACTTGCTTAATTTCCTTATTGAGGCTCCGCCGCCATGAGCCCCTGGGTCTGCCTCTGCTGCGATGTCCTGCTGGATTCCAATCCAGCGCTTGCTTGCAGATTTCGTTTCCGCCCCGTCGAAGTGTGTGGCCGACCCACCTCCACTTTCGCTCTCGAATTTCTGTTGCTATCGGCTTCTGATGACATCGACGATGGAGCTCGGCATTCGAGATCCAGTTGTGAGGCCACCAGGCACGAATTATATACCGCAGGCATCGGTTGATGAAGACCTGCAGCTTTTGAGTGTTCTCCGTTGATACACACCACGTCTCGCTGGCGTATAACAACACAGATTTCACGTTCGAGTTGAAAATTCGGATTTTGGTGCGTTGACTTATCTGGTTGGATCTCCATACGTTTTGTAAACTCGCAAAGGCAGCCCTAGCCTTCTTGATTCGTGCACCTATGTCGCTCTTGGTCCCGCCGTCCGACGCTATTTGGCTGCCAAGATATTGGAAACTTTCGACCTTCTCCACTGCTTGCCCCGCTACCGTAAAGTTGGAAGGGTAGCCCGTGTTGATATCCAACGATTTGGTCTTGTTGACGTTGATGGTGAGACCCGCCGCAGAGGAGCATTCGGCTGGGTCATTGAGCTTACTCTGCATATCAGAGCGCCGTTGTGCTAGTAGAGCAACATCATCAGCCAAATCGAAGTCGTTGAGATGCTCCATGGTGATAGGCTGCTAGGCTGCAGCCTACGGTTCGATACACGGTCAATTGCACCAACCATGATCTCGTCGATTACGATGAGAAACAGTAGCGGTGATAGTATACATCCTTGTCTCACACCACCGACTACCCGGATAGGGTCGGACAAGGCTCCGTTATGCAGAACTCTGCACGTGAAAACCTCATACTGCGCTTCGATGAGATTGACGATTTTATCCGGGACTCCCTTGCGTCTCAGGGCGCCCCACAGATTCTCGTGATTGAGACGGTCGAAAGCTTTTTCGTAGTCAATGAATACTAAATAAAGGGACTCTTGGAATTCATTGACCTGCTCCAGGATGATGCGGAGCGTGACAATATGGTCCACACAAGATCTTCCGGCACGGAATCCTGCCTGCTGCCGTCGGAGAGTCGCGTCGATCTTCTCCTGTATCCGATTCAGGATAACTTTGCACAGAACTTTGCGAACAATACACAGTAACATGATGCCTCGCCAATTGTCGCACACAGTCAGATCCCCCTTCTTTGGGACCTTCACTAAGATGCCCTGCATCCAGTCGGCCGGAAAAGTCGCGGTGTCCCAGATATTACAGAATAGTTGATGCAACATTTGTGCGGATAGCATGGGGTCAGCTTTGAGCATCTCTGCTGATATGCGATCGACCCCTGGAGCCTTGTTGGATTTCATGCTTCGGATAGCTGCTTCAATCTCCTGCAGTGATGGGGCCTTGGAATTGACGCGAG